GCAAAGGTGATAGATGTGCTTGTAACCCACATGTCCTCTCAGTGGGTGCAGGTAAGGCTGTGTGTGTGAGGGGAGATTAGAGCTTTCTGGGACAAGTGGAGATCTGTAGTTACTGATCATGTTTTGGAGGGTCTAGAACTGTGGCTTCTCTCTTCCATTACTGCTGCGGAGCTCAAGTGAATGGTTCACTGGTTGCTGCTTGACTCTGTGTCAGGAATGAATCAATAAACAGCATCAGTGTTTAGGATGTGGAGGGAACAGCTCTCTGTGCCAGAGGGACCGTTCCCAGCCTGCTCCCCAGCTCTGCCCTGGGCTCTGGGCTGAGGCTGCAGCAGCAGGTTGGGCACTCTGAGCTCAGCAGCAGGGGCAGACCCACCTGAGGTCTCAGTGCCTCAGTTCTGTGTCCTGTCAGGCAGGAGGGACTTACAGCTCAGCTGCCAAAGGTGTAGATGATCCTATTCACTCCGCATTTTGTGGAAGAGGAGAGAGAAGGAGAGGAGAGGAAAGATTCCACTGGCAGTGCTGTACCTTTGTGCAAAACTTCCAGGAAGGTTGCCCAGAACCCTGAAGCACGTCTCTGCCATCAGAGTGGCAATAAAGAGGAACCCCTTGCCCTGCAGCCACTGAGGTTCAGAACAAGTTCATCTCCTGCTAATTTGGGTTGTTCCTCCTTTTGTTTTATGTTCTTGACATATTTGGGGGCACCAAATACACAACATGTTGTGCAGGTTTGTGTCATTTCATCCCTGTGAGGACTGGTGGAGGACCACTGGAGCACTGCCAGCAGCTCTGGGTCCCAGAACGGGACAGACACCACTAATGGTCACACTGGTCTGTGCACTTGGCCCTGGGGCTGGGCAGGGGAGGCCCAGGGGCCTCGTGGCAGGAGTTGGTCTGTGGTTCTCACTGAAGGAATCTGTGCTGATTTACAGCACCTCGTGCTCAAGCTCACAGGGAGAGGATTGTGCCTCTCTGCTCCACTCAGGTGAGACTCACCTGCAACGGGACAGACACCACTAATGGTCACACTGGTCTGTGCACTTGGCCCTGGGGCTGGGCAGGGGAGGCCCAGGGGCCTCGTGGCAGGAGTTGGTCTGTGGTTCTCACTGAAGGAATCTGTGCTGATTTACAGCACCTCGTGCTCAAGCTCACAGGGAGAGGATTGTGCCTCTCTGCTCCACTCAGGTGAGACTCACCTGCAGTGCTGCCCCAGCTCTGCTCTGAGCACAGGGAGCACAGGTTGCTGCTGGAGTGAGGCCAGAGGAGGCACCAAGTGATCAGAGAGATGGAGCAGCTCTGCTGGGAGGTTGTGTCTCTCCATGACTTCCTAAGCCATGTCAGCTGGAGTTTCAAGCCTTTTTTGGCTCTTCTAAGCAATGTATTTTGGTTTCCCTGACAAGTAACATGAATTATATTCTATTATTTCACAAATAACACCAAAAAAATCAATAGAGACTTCTTCCTTATAGTCAGAGCCCAGTTGAGTACAGAGCTTGAGCACAGGTCTGAAAGGAACATCAGATGGAGATTACATTCCATAACTGCACCCTCAAATAACCTGAGAATATCAGGGTTTATCTCTAAGCCACAAAAAATTGTTGGTTATTTGTTTGACCTCAGTCTCAATGTTTAGAACAAACACAATTCTAAAACAGCAGTTAAGAATTAATGTTGCCCTTACTGAGGGATGTGGGATCTGGGATTGTATGTCATGGAATTATCCCTTTCATGCTTATCAGGTAGAAATAGTTTTAGTTTCTTTGACTTTCTCTTTCTGTCGTCATAATGTAATTCCCATCGGACAGTTCTGGAGGATTATTTAATCTGTATTTACTCTTCCTCAGATGATGGAGAGGCAGAATGAGCAAGACACAAAATGAGGCAGGAAAGGAAATGCCTCTGGCAAGACATAAAGGTCATTGTAACAATCTCATTTCCTCCTTGAAGTTTACCTGGGAGTCCCAAACTCTTGTCCTTCGCTCTAGCTCTGCCACTCTGAAAAAAGGAACTTGGGCCACGTGTTGCAATTCTGTGGTATTGTGGTGGAGTGGAGCATCCCTTTCCCTTCAGCCCCCAGCAGCATTTATAAGGAGCTCTGTGCTTCCTCCACATCACAACACAACCTGCCTGGCAACTGCAGCTCCAGGATCACAGCCAAGGTGAGAACTCAGCTCTTCTCTTGCTCTGGGAGCCGCTGCTCTGGATAAAACTGATAAGAACTTAACATAGTTGATTTGAAAGTGTGTTTAAATGGTTTCTGTGACTTTTTCTTGGGACAGCATTTATGTGCTTATGTGCTTATGTGCCTGGAGTTAGGCACATAGCACACACGTGTCCAGCTCAGAGAGGCATCAGGGGATGTCTGGTTATCATAGCAATGTTTGTGTTGTTGGGGTGTGAGCACTGACAGACCATTTGTGGTCACACTGGTCCCTGCACGTGGCCCTGCCTGGAGCTGGGGCTGGGCCAGGGGAGGCCAGAGGTGCTGTGATCCTGTGAAATCCTTCTGTGGTTCTCACTGAAGGAATCTGAGATGATTTACAGCACCTCGTGCTCCAGCTCACAGGGAATTGGTGGGAACACCAGGGAGGGGATTGTGCCTCTTGCTCCACTCAGGTGAGACTCACCTGCAGTGCTGCTCCAGCACAGGAGGCACATGGAGCTGTTGGAGTGAGGCCAGAGGAGGCACCAAGTGATCAGAGGATGGAGCAGCTCTGCTGGGAGGAAAGGCTGAGGGAATTGGGATTGTTCAGCTGGAGAAGAGAAGCTTTGGGGTGACCTAACTGCACCTTCCAGTGCCTGAAGGAGCTACAGGAAAGATGGAGAGAGACCATTTTCAAGAGCTTGGAGGGACAGGACAAGGGGGAATGGCTCACACTGATGGAGAAGAGGTTTAGATTGGCTATTGGGAAGGAATTCCTCCCTGTGAGGTGCTGAGGCACTGGCACAGGTTATCCAGAGCAGCTGTGGCTGCTCCATCCCTGGGAGTGTTCCAGGCCAGGCTGGACAGGGCTTGGAGCAGCCTGGGCTGGTGAGAGGTGTCCCTGCCCCTGGCACGAGTGGGACTGGATGAACTGTTAACTTCTTTCATCAAAAAACCTAACCTTGAAGCTTCTGCCTGAAACCAGGAGAAACTCTTCTCCCTTGGAGGTTTCAAGTTTGACAAAAGGTTGTTCTGATGCCTGTTTTGGGTGGTGATCAGTGCCATGTTCCACTGGCAGGAATCAGCATCTTGCAGAAAGTTGCAAAATCCATTTTTCTTTTGGAAATTCCAGACACTCCTTCCTGCAGCAGGAAACCAGCAGCAGCCAAGGGTTTGCCTGTTCCTGAAGCAATGCACTGCTGATAGTGTGTTATCTTGGAGCTCTTTCCCAGCCTGAATGATTCCGTGGCTCTGTGCTAGGCTCCCTGATGGCAACAGGCTGCTCCCTGGGGCTGGTGCCTCTGGCTGAGCAATGGGAGCCGCTTGTCTCCTGGTGCTCCCAGGAGCTGCCAGTGAGTAACAGGTTCAGTGCACACAGCAGCACAAACATCCTCTCCAGAAATCAGGAGGGATACTCCCCTTTCACTGGAGAAAGGCTATTTGGGAGGGGAAAACCCCAAATCATTTGATTTTTTTGTTTTCCATGAGTATTCAGACTGGAGTCAGAGCAGCCTTTGGAGCTACATTGACCAACCTCTTTTTCTGTCATTCTCCTATTCATTTCACTCAGTCTCCAACTGGGAAAGGTCTGGAGTGTATCCAAATAATTTTTGTTAAAGGGTTCTATGCACCCAGTGGTTACCACAGTACTTGGCAAATGCTTCCTGAGGAGCTCTAGTTGCATTTGGAATTCAGGAAAAAGTTATATATTGTCTATACTTTTATGTATTGTCTATACTTTCACACAACACTGCTGTACCTGCCTAGCCCTGCCTGAAAACAGCTGTGGCACTGAGTCCAGCTGGAATCCTGCCTGAAATTGCTTACAAAATGCATTAGACTGTGCAGTCTCAGGTGGATGCTGGAACAGTTAGGTGTCAGTGCTGGCACCAGCTCTGCACTAGTGACCTGTCCTGCTGTCACTTGTGCTCACAGGGATGGTGGAGACAACAGTGCAGCAAAACACTCCAGCAGGTCCTTGTTTTGCTCACAATCCTTTGTTTCTATAGGGTTCCTGATGTGCTTAGCCAAGGAATGCACTTACAGGCTTTGTGCAAATGAAATTTGATGTCCATTGATCCTTCAGTTCAGTGCCTTGTTCATACAGAGCCACAGAATCAATTAGGGTGGAAAAGAGCTCTGAGACCATCCAGTCCAACCTGTGACCCATCACCACTTGTCAGCTAGAGCAGAGCTCTGGGTGCCACGTCCAGTTGTTCCTTGGACACCTCCAGGGATGGTGACTCCACCACCTCCCTGGGCAGCACATTCCAGTGCCTGACAGCCCTTTCCATGAGGAAACTCCTCCTGGTGTCCAACCTGAACCTCCCCTAGCACAGCTTGAGGCTGTTTTGTGTCATCCTGTCCCTGGGAGCAGAGCCTGACCCCACCTGCTGCATCTCCTGGCAGGAGCTGGAGAGAGCAGAAGGTTCCTTTTCTCCAGGCTGAGCCCTCACAGCTCCCTCAGCTGCTCCTCAGAGGATTTCCTCTCCATCCCTTCACCACTAGCCTCACTGGCATCAGCAGGACTTTCTTGCCTAAGGAATATCTGGAAGGAACCAGGGAATGCCCTTGAGCTCCTGACCGTATCAGACCTATGCACAGAACAATTTCCTCTAAGTTCTGTGATTGCTTCTCTAAACTGACTTGTGCTGAGAATGAGTGCATCAAAATCTTGGCCTGAGCTCCAGTGCAAACCTGATTTTCAATTTTTATGGTGCTCAAGAGTTCTTAGAACAGGAGAATGTTTCCCAGTTTCCCAGGGCTGACACTGCCTGTGCAGCAGGAGCCTGATCCCAGAGCCTGATCAGAGCCTGGTCTCAGAGCCTCAGCTCAGTAGTGTGTTTTCTCCCTACAGATGTCTCACCTGCTCCGGGTGCTGCTGCCACTGCTCTCCCTTGCTGCCCTCCTGGAAGCACAGTGGAAACTGAGGGAAAATGGTAAGCAGTGAGCTGCAGGGCAGGGGGCTCAGAGCTGTGGCCACACACAGTTTGCTAACTGCTCTCTCTCAGTGCCTCAGGCCAAGGCTCTTCCTCTGTGTTTGCTGGGGAATAACTAACCAACCACTTGCAGCTACAGTCAGAAGTCCTGAAATGTCCAATGGCATATTTGCAATCTGTGCATCAGTAAATCTGCCATTGCCTATTCCTTCTCCTGCTCCAGGAGTGTCAATCCTACAGCCTGGGAGCAGGAACAGCCTCTTGTGCCTTAGGTAACAGCCCCAAACCAACCGAGTGGAGAAGTCATTGTAAAAACATAAATATTTCTGAGCAAAGCCTAAAGCTAGAAATAGTTTATCAACTTTTCTGGTAAATAGGCTAAATGTAAATATATATGTAAAATACAGGGACAAAGAGAGACAATTTCTTTGAATAATTTGGGCTAAACTCAGATAACCAGATTTGCTGTTCCCTTCACCCAGTGCAGCCCCATGGCCCACACTGCCTCCTGTGGCACTGCCCCACGAGGCCCCTAACAACAGGAGAAAACATCCTCAGCCTGAGCGTTCTCTCTGCCCATTACTTTCCCCCACATCTTTACATTAAGGGAATGACTTCTCCCCTGTGTTCCCTGGGCAGTCCCACAGTGCTGCACACTGCCAACCTGTTTGTCAGCACTGAGAGGAGCTTTGTGTTTGGAGTCTGTGAGTTCCACCTTGCCTGTGCTTCACTGGTGTCCTCGAGCTGAATGTTTCTTGCCAGCTTAGAGTCAGTGTCTGACAGGTTATTTCTTAGTGTTGCTTTGTGGCAAAGCTTTAAAGCTCTCCTGGTGGGGAAATGCTCTGGTGAGAAGGTCCTGGAGCTCACTGGAACTCACTCAGAGCTCCTGGAGGGCAGAGCTGCAGCAAAGGGCTCAGCCCAACCTGCCATGGTGAGTGTGAGGAGCTGCTAACTTCCTTCTCTGCCATGTGCAGTGTATGTCATAGAATCTGAGTGGAATGCTGAGACACCAGGCACAAGAGTGGAGCTCACCTGCAACACCTCTAATGAAGCAGTATACTGGAGGAAGGACTCAGAGTGGAAAGGCCAAGGGAAGACTCTGATTGCTGAAGTGAAGGAGTTCCCAGATGCTGGCAACTACACCTGCCGGGCAGAGAACACCCACGAGATCCTCAGCTACAGCTTCTTACTCATAGCTAAAATTGACTCCAATGGGCAGATGATCAGGTCAATCCTGAAAAGCTTTAAAGGTAGGTAAAGATGATGTTGCTTGCTCAGCCTCGTGCTCTGCAGGCCTGGGCAGCTCCCTGGAAACACAGGAGAGACACCCACCTCAGACTGGGCTCTCCTCAATGCTTCCCTGGCGGTGACAGGCAAACAACTCCTGCAGCTCTGTGTGCTGCAGCTGATGACCAGCACAGGGATCAGTTGCCATGGGGCTAACTTAGGACTCACTAGACCTGTAGGAATGATTGGGTGCAGGATAACACTGATACCACACCACACCAAGGAAAGGTTTCTTTCTTCTGTTCTCAGAACAGCAGCAGCTTCCCAAAGAGCTGCAACTGACAGGGAGTAGGTTTAGATTGGATATTTGGAAGGAATTCCTCCCTGTGAGGTGCTGAGGCACTGGCACAGGTTGCCCAGAGCAGCTGTGGCTGCTCATCCCTGGGAGTGTTCCAGGCCAGGTTGGATGGGGCTTGGAGCAGCCTGGGCTGGTGGGAGGTGTCCCTGCCCAGGGCAGGGGTGGAATAGATGAGCTTTAAGGTCCTTCCAACCCAACCATTCTGTGATTCTCCCCTGGCTGCACTCCCAAGCAGAGGTAACAAACACAGAGGTTTGATAACTGAATAGCTGTGAGATTTCTTTGTGAAGGGAACAATGGGTTTGTGTGGATGAATCTCCTGCTGACAGCTGTCACCCCCAGCCTGGCTGTGCTCTGGCTGCTGTCAGTAGGCACAGGGATGAGGTGGTGCCACGAGGAACAGCCTTTGGCCACCAGCTGTGGCTGTGTGGCTGTGCAGCTCCCGTGGCCGCTCACACCAGGCTGTGGCTGCTGTACCCACCTGCCAAAGCAGGTAGAGCCCACTGGATTACTGACTTCTCGGGCAAAAAGGATAAATAAATCATGTTTTCTTTCTTCTTCCATGCAGAGCCAAACTGGACATTTCTGAAATGTGAGGCCAAGAACTACTCTGGAATTTTCATGTGTTCATGGATGACAGAAAATGAGAGTCCAAATGTGAAGTTCACCATCAGAAGCCTAGAAGGGTAAGAGTTTGTACTTTCCTTAACAATCTCATAGCAAGGCCAGGGCAGCTCTTTGAGATACTCTGAGCAGGGAATCCTGCGTTTTTGGCTGTTGAGGACATGTAGAAGGTGAGAATTGCTTCTTCCAGAGTAGGAGCATATGCAAGATGCTTTGAGCCATCACTGGGCCTAACTTGACTAGTGAGGGCATACAAGTTGCTCAGAAATTAATAAAGCCTTGGAAATGGAACGACCTCACTGGGCTGTTAGAGGCACAAAGTGACCTGAGTAGTAGCAAAACAGTTCATGGAGGAGAGAGAGGAAGTGCAGCCAAAAGCAGAAACTGCCAGAGCTGTGAGTGCCTGTGCTGCAGACGTGGAGAGTGAGGGAGCAGGAGGCTGTACCCTCTGCAGAAGCCACATGGCCACGGACAAGTCTCTGTTGAGGAACACTGCAGAAACCTCCTGGGGAAATGTGTGACGGGAACCTCGTGGGGATTTCTGCCTCCCACTGCTCCTGGGGCTTTCTCCAAAACATGGAGAGCCTCAGCAAAGGTCACTTCAGCCTGTTAAAAAGAAACAACTGCAAAATGTTTGATTTTGCTGGATGCAAGAATAGAACCAGGTTCAGGTAGTACTTCTTGGGTGGCTTTTGCTATTTTTTGCTCCATGGATCCTTCTTACCCGTCCGTTTCTTCAGCAAGGTCTGAGAGGGTGAGGTAACAAAGACAGTGGAGCTTGCCAAGGGCTGGTGGTAACAAGAAATGAGATATCCTCTTTAGGCTCAAGCACTGCTGGCTCTGCCAAGCAGGAGTGGAACTGGCTGTGGTTTTACACTGGTGCACTGAAACTGTGACAACTCCCACTGAACTGCAGCAGGTGATGTGCAGCCACCACACGACACAGGCAGCATCAAAACGTTTCCTCAGGGTGTTGTGTGGCAGCACTCAGAACAAACCATCACTCCCAGCCCTCTCTGCTGTGCTCAGCCCCCAGGGACAGGTGAGCTGTGGCAGCCCCGTGGCCCAGCCCGACGGTGCCATCACCAGGTACACAGCCCAGTGCCGCCGGGACAACCACTGCCCCTTTGCTGAGGAGCACCAGCCCATCGAGATGTTCCTGGAGGTCACTGACGAGGTGGAATACGAGAACTACACCAGCAGCTTCTTCATCAGGGATATCAGTGAGTAGACCAGGGCTCAGGAATAATCTCAGCTCTGCTCTTGCTGCTGACAGTGGAACTGGCAGTAGCTGCTCTGACCAGCCCTGGGAATCCCTGTCCTGTGCTACTGTAACTGTGCACCAAGCCCCACTTACAGGAACAGGGGAAACATGCCATGGCAGCAGTCTGGAGGGGGATGAGGAAGTGAAGAAGTAATATCTTCCTGGCTTGTGACCCCCAACCCTCTCACGCCCACATCTCCCACAAGTTCCTGTAGTACTCTACTCCACGGCCACGTGTTGGGAGGGACATGTAGGAGAAGTCAGAGGGTGCTCTGTAACCAGCAGGATCTGCTCCAAGGGCTGGTTCAGGCCAGAGATGCTTCCCTTGACCCACCCCTACAGAAGGGCACCAGGGCAGGGTAGTGGAAGTGGAGAGGAGCCCAGAGGACTCAGCTGTGGCCATGATGCCACAGGGCACAGGGAGGTGTAACAGCACTTGGAAGAAACAGAAGTTTTGCTAAATGCCCTAGTGGTCAGCAGGGGTTGAAGATATTCCTCTGTGTCCCACAGAGCCCTCTGCAGCCCTCCAGGCTGAAAAAGAAGGATCTTCCCCAGAGAGATTCTGGGAGCGTGCTTGATTTTCTGCAAGAAGCAGTTAGGGAGTTCTTACACAGCATGTCTACTCCTCTCTTAATCCCACGGAGGCTCCCAAAGCTCATTCCTGTACAACCACCACCACCTGACATTGTGTTGCTACAGTGAGTTCATTCCCTCTGTGTTTTCTCTTGCAGTTAAGCCTGACCCACCCCAGTGTCAGTACGTGGCCTCGACCGGAACAGTGACCTGGACATACCCCAAAACATGGAGCACCCCAAAGTCCTACTTCCCTCTGACTTTCAAGGTCAAAGTCGAAAACACCAAGAGACGCAAGCCTCAGGTAGGAATGCAACATTGAAACACAATTTCTTGCTTGAACGGGGAGTGTAAATAGCATTAGCTTTGTGTGCAAGAATCATGAACCAAAAGGTGCTGAGACCCAAACGTGGCAAGTTCTGTCCTGGCAGAAAAACCTTCCTGGTGCTGTGAGCAGTGAGATCCCTGGTGTAACTGGGGAGAGAAGCCCATGCCCACATTGCACAGCTGTGCTGGCATGAGACAAGTGTTTACTAAACCGTTGGTTGGCTATGTGGGTCCTAGTGAGGGAAAATCCCAGTGTCCCAATCAAGCAGCCTGGGATCTGGATTTCCTCCTCTGCTGTTGGTACCTGGGCAGCTCTGACTTTGTCGGTGAATTGGCCAGGGAGGAATCCCTGACCCACGTGGAAGTGTTTCTGTGTGGATTGTGCTCTTTGCCACTGTGTTTCCAGTTAGTTATCTGCGGGCTGGCTGGCGCTGGCGGAGGTTTCCCGGGAATCCTCCAGCCTGTGCCGGCAGATGGGGCCATTCCCCCAGTGCTGAGCCCCGCGCTCGCACAGCTTCCCCGGAGGATCCCTCGGCTCTGAGGGCGCCTCTGCAATCAGCCGCAAGTCCTCAGTGGGAATTTCAGCGATACTGAAAAGGAGCAACTTCTGTTTTTAGTGTTGCTACTCCGGGAGCAGAAGGAAATGGAGCAAACCCAGATAACCAAATGACCCTGTGTTTCAGTGCCTGATTCAGTCTGGGGGTTGGATCACCTTAGAACACCAACCCCAGTGGGACATGAGCTTTGCAGTTGGTCTCTGCTGAGGCTCAGGCTCTCACAGGCCCTCAGGGCTCTGCTACCAGTGGGTGAAGTTGGTGCCTCTGGCACACCAGAGTTCCACGTGGATCCATTCTGGCACTGCACTGAATGTTCCTCCTGAGCTTTACACCCACTGAAGGAGCTGTGCCCTGTTCACAGGTCATTGAGGTCGATGAGGAGTCTGTCCAGCTGTCAAACACTGGGCCCAGGGACAGGATCTCCGTGCAGGCCAGAGATCGCTATTACCACTCCTCCTGGAGCGACTGGTCCTCACTCTGCAGGTAAGGCCCAAGGAACCTCCTGCTGGAGAAAACAGAACTGAGGAAACAGAGTCCTTTGAATCAGAGAGGAGCAATGGATGTAGGGTCACGGGTTGTAGTATAGAATCACAGAGTCACAGACTGGTTGAGGTTGGAAGAATCTCAAGCTCACCCAGTCCCACCTCTGCCGTGGGCAGGGACACCTTCCCCCAGCCCAGGGTGCTCCAAGCCCCATCCAGTCTGACCTTCCCCAACTAGGCAACTAGAAAACACTCTTTAGGAAATCCAGAGTTTGGCCATTGCTGGTGTAAGTCCTGCTGATTTCTAGCCCTTCTGCTCACTGGCAGCTTATGAACCGATGCTGAACATCCAAATCCAGCAGAGAATCCACTCACAGCCAAACTGACCAGGAAAATGAGCAAGGGAGTGAGAGAGAGAGAGGTGTTTCCTACTAGAAAGAAAAGCTATCAGCAGCTACTCCTGGGAATGGCTGTTTTCCCATTCTGGGATTGATTCACACTCTCTGTCTGGTCTAAATTTTAATCTTCTTCCTCTCCTCTGATTTGTCCCTTTGGGGTGGGATTTTTCCAGCTGATGTAGATGCAAATCTCTGATCTCCAAGTCTCCCGGGTCACACTGCTGGGGAGTTGTGAGCTGGTAGCCTCTGAAATGAGATCCCACTGCTCTGCAGATCCAGTTGTGTTGGTCCAGGGGCAGTCAGGGATCCCAGTGGGATTCCACTGCTCTGCAGGTCCAGTTGTGTTGGTTCAGGGGCAGTCAGGGATCCCAGTGGGAGCTGAAGGGAGGTTTGGATTTCGGGGGCTGGGCAGTGCCCCTCCCCCACCAGCCACAGCTGAGTCACTGAGCCCCACGGCACGACCTGGCGGATGTGTCCTGAGCCCTGCAGAGCCACCGAGCGGTGGCACTGCCCTACACGGCTCAGACCAGCAAGGCTGTACTGAGAATCGGGCTGGAAATGCAGCTCTGAGGGGAGTCAGGAGAGTCCTCATGCCAATGCACTTCCTCCTATCTCACAGATAGCAGCGAGAGGCCCCGGGAGGGTGGCACAAGGCTCCTTGAGAAAGCACAAGGCGAATTAGCACAAGAACATAAGCACAACGCGAAGAGAAAGCTGCAGCTGATTCTGAAGAAGCCATAGCACGTCTCCTGCTGCTGCCACAGAGGGATGTGCTCCCCTGGCAGCCCCGAGACCCCGCGGGCCCAGCAGCACCTTGGGCACAGCCCACGTTACGATGACACGGCTGCTGCCCCGACGTGCTGCTGGCAGCTCCCGTGGCTTCTGCACATCCCTGGATTGCATTTATTTATTGACTATTTATTGACTATTTATTGATGTATTTATTGATATATTTATTGATGTATTTATTTATTTATTTATTTATTGTGTCCTGCAAGGGCCACTCGGTGGCACTTGCTGTTCCAACCATTTCAGGTGTTTGTCTGTCTCATTTATTTGTACGTGTTTGTGCTGAGCTGCAGCAGCACAGAGAGCCTTGGCTGGGGAGCAGCTCTGTGCTGTCGTGGGCAGTTTTCTGGCAACACGAAGAATTCCAAGCTGCTGTGCCCCAGGCAAGAGCACAGGAGTCAGGGATCTGCCAACTCCAGCCAAGGCAGCTGAAATCGTTCCTGCAGCGTATCTGGTACCTCAGAGACCAGTTGGTAACCAGGTTTGTGTGGATGTTAAGCATCTGATGAGTTAGAGTTTTAGAATACAGATTTTTATAGTTCATTTTGGAAGTATTTCCCACCTGCTGCAACAGGTGTTGGTGTCTCACAGAACCTCAGCTAAAGCCCCTCAAGTCCTGGTTCTGAACTGCCTACAGTGTTAAGTCCCCAGGGCTGGAAAGAAGCAGAAGCATGTGCTGAAGTCTCTGTGTTTTTCATAGAATCTCAGACTGGTTTGGGCTGGAAGGACCTTAAAGATCATCCAGTTCCACCTCATGCCATGGGCAGGGACACCTTCCACTGGGGCAGGTTGCTCCACCCATCCTGGCCTGGAACACTCCCAGGGAAGGGGCATCAAAACATCCGAGTCCTGATGCAAAATACAGTGAAATATCTTTGAGGATTCAGACCTAAACAATTCAGACTTTAAGAAAGACTCACTGACCTTACAGAGCCTTTCATTGCCATGATGCTTCCTTTTCTCCAGCCCTAGCAATGAGTGCAATTTGTGACCTCTAAACACTGGAACGTGTGAAGTATCTGATATTTCAGAAAACTTGATAATCTAACAGATGCTGTTAGTCTGTATTAAGTTTACATGTCTCATTTCTGCTGGGAATGCAATTGACTGTGCTGGTTTTACCAAGGAGCTAACAATAAACACATCTGAAAACAAGAAAACTTGGTTGACTTGTGATCTTTTAAGAGTGGTTGGTGTCAACTCTCACTTTTCCCCCCAGAGCATCACACACTGCACCTGAGACAACTCAGGGAGAGTAATTATCACTGATAACTGTACCTAATTCATGGCCTGTCAAAGTCACAGGACGAGGAGCAAAGGGACAAGTGTGAGTCAGAAGGATCTCCTGAACCCTCTTCTGCAGGCAAGGAGAGCACTGAGGTTCTCTGGCCTTTGTGGTCAGGAGGTTTGCAACTGAAACCAGCCTGACAGAGATCTTGAGGTCTCTGAGGTTTCTCTCTAGTCCTGTTGGTGCAGTGTTCAGAGTTCTTAGGCCCTTCCTGTTCAGATTTCAGAGTTGGAGCCCTAACACCACTGAAACCAATCCCTGAGCCTCTCACTGACTTGGGTCCAGCCCAGTCTTCATTCCCTGCCAAGTGTACTAGTGTGCTGAGAAAGTCTGTATTGATCTATTGCCTTCAGAGGAATGTGCCTTTCTGGTGCCATGGTGAGGTGAATTAAACCTCCCTACAGGAAGCTTTCCTGGCATGGATTCTGAGGCAATGAGGAGCGAGGGGAGTCACTGGCTAAGGTTCTTCAGGAGAATGGCAAAGCAGAGCTTGAAGCTGCCCCTTTCCTGCAGCAGTCACACTAACTGGGAGATGTCTGTTCTCCGTGGGCTTCAATCCTTGACTATCCACGCCCTGGGCCTTGCATGGATCCTCTGAGTGCCTGCTCTAGGAGCTGGCAGTCTCCCTCCTCTGAGGGACTGTTGAGATTGTATAAAAGGGGTTAATACCAGAGCTCAAATACTCTCTCCAGCAGCTCCATGCCCTGCACATCATTTCCCAACACGCTCCATCCACTCAAGGTAATAGTAGTTGATGCATCAGTTAGTCCTTGGACTTCTCTTTCCTAATTCCTCTCCTTGTTGCACTGCAAATAGTCTGGAAACCTTCTGAAGAGTGTGAGAGTGCAGACTCAGTCAGGCTGCACAGAGCACAGCATTGGCCCCACAAACTTCAGATTGCACAAAGCTGCTGAGATGAAGCGACAGAGCTGAGTTTATTCCCGAGGCCTCTGTGCTACAGAGTCATTAAAGTCACCTCCCAGGCCTCTCCAGGAGGTCCTCACTCTGCTCCCACTCTGGGCAGGTGCAGCTTTCTATTCATACTCATCACTCAACCTGTGGCTTTAGGTTTTGCCTACCACACCTCCCTCAATCTGCCCCAAACAGAGACTGACTAACTCCCTTCAGGGCTTTTTGTGGGTGCTCCTCGGCCCAAAGAATGCTTGACAAATAGCTGATGTCCTTAATGAGGCACTAATCGGTTGCAGGAGGCACCTGCCAGCCTCAAGTGCCTCAGCCCTTAAAGCTGGGCAGGCAGGCACTTGCCAACAGCAGAGGGGGGAAAGGCTTATGTCTAATTACACAGATTTCAGGTCCCAGGGCTTCATATCCATCATTTCCTCCATGCTGACCTGCATCCTATGCCTCCTCTTCATCAGTTACAGCTTTTATAAAAGGTATTTCTAACAGAGGCAAACCCAGTGCGTGTCCTCCAGCCTTGCTCAGACATAAAGAAACCTTTTTTCAAATCTGTCAGTTTGACTTCAGTGTGAGAGAACTCCAAAGTGCTCAACACCTGGAAACTGCATCTTCAGGGAACTGATGGTAAATCCTACTCAGTGCTCACTGTCCAGTTCATGGTGTGTAGTGTTAAGCTGATCATGCCCATTTGGCTTCTGTCTATGCAGAACCAAGTCACTCAGAGCTATCGGTGGCTCTGGGTAGCAATTGGAGTAACTGAGGAACTCAAGGGATCCCAAGTTACTTGCAGGATGGGAGGTACCAGCCTTTTATTGCATCCCAGGGAGATCAGAAGCTACAAACCAACCCACAGAGCTCAGCTCCAGCCCCTCACAGTGGTGTTGGGTTTGTTTTTGCCCTTCAGCTGGGGCCTGTCCTGGCCCAACACCTGCAATGGTACAGAAAGGCTCTTTGGGCCTTTCTTAAGGTGTGGGGAATGGGAAGCTCACCAGGCAAATACCCAAGAGTTTTGGCACAGTTTGATGCCTGAACAAACACATCACTTGGTTCACAAATCTCCCGTTGAGCAAGATATCAGGAGGCTGATGGAGTAATTGCCCATGGGTGGACAGCCCTCACCGCCCGCGGCAGGACGAGGCAGCCTCGGGACGAGCTGTTCCCTGGGAGCAGGCGCTGGAATCCCTGAGGTGAGCTCTCATTGGTGACCACGGCAGTGTGCCTGGGCTCGCCCATTCCTCGGAGGTGTGTGCTGGGTGAGAATGTGGCTGCAGCCGCC